AAATAAAAAATTAACATGTCATTTAAAACATCTAAAAAATTAATCCTGACTTGAAAAAACCAATGTTTGGTGGTGTTAAGGGATCTAATAAAGTGTATCATGTTCTTTTATCTTTTCATAACCTCATGGAATAAAATCTAAAAATAAGAAGCTCCTTCGGAAAAGCTCCAAGAAAAGTTTAGCACCCAAGGCCAAGGGCACGTTTAGAGGATAAGATGAGTTTAGATTGCATAAGGTTTAAAGACTGGGATTAAATTAGACTGATTATGATAGATTGTATTGAAATTACATGATTTTTTTTTGTTTATTTTTAGTAAATTTAGTTTAATTTTTTAGATATAAATTTAAAATAAAAATTTAACAACTTAATGAATAATAATTAATTTTTTTCATATATGAAGTTTTTATTAAATACTTTTATTTGCTAGAAAATTTTTTAATTATGATTTATAAATATGTTAAATTTTTATTTAAAATTTATGTTTAAAATATTAAAAAATCAAAATAAATCTATTAAAATTAAACAAAAAAGAGTATTTGGTTAATTATGAGATAAAAAGAAATTGAATATAAATAATATTCAATTGACTCAAGTGTTGGGAATGGGCCCAACGTCCAATCTAGGTCTTATATAGTAGGCCTAATCGTTTATCTGGGGGCCCAAAGTCAAACCTAGTGAAGACACACCCACGGGGAGGCCTATACGTGGATTAGTCAAATGTTTACACGTGTAGGCTATTTTCACTAAGGGATTATAAATACCTCCACCTGCCTCCATTCAAGGAAATAACTTCTCTACACTTTTCTCTCTACAATTACTCCCCTTGAGACCTTCTCTCTGTTATACTTATGATTTTGATGATTACAAAACATCTTTGAGTGACTAATTGGTTCATTTAAGTGTATAGTTAAATTGCTAAAAGATTATAAAGTAAGTAAACTTGGAGTGTACTAAAAATGGACTAAAAGGCTTGAAAAATGTGTAGAGAGCCGACTTTTGAAACCTGCAGTCAGCTCTGCTGAAAGTGAAGTGCAAAGAGCCGCCTCTAAAGTTGCAGTCGGCTCTGCAGGAGAAATTCAAGCCCATTGTTTAGCGCGAACGGAAAACAGATGCATAGCCTGCTTTGACTTTGCAGTCGGCTGTAAGGGCACATTTAATGCACAATGGTCAAGTTATTTAAAGATTAATTAGTATTTTTAAAGTTGAAATCCCAAAACTGGCTTTACATTTTGCAGCCAGCTATACAAGGAAACAGAATATACAGAAAACCCGCAAAGCCGGCTCAAGGAATGTAAACTGGCTCTACGAA